TTATAGCTTGATAAGTTCAATCTAGATTCCGTGCTTCTCATTTCCAAAATGCACCTTTATCATTGTTCGATCCTAGAGAACCGTAATCTTGTATCTTATGGTATGCGCTCAGAGATATCTTAGATATGGATATCTTGATTGGCTTTTAGTCAAAACTGTAAGACTTATAGCCAAGACGTGGGTATGTGCACAGTATTGACAGCAATAATAAATATGTCAAAAGTATGTACCTGGAGTCTTTAGTCTTTTATCTTATGGATCTTATGGTATGCGCTCAGAGATATCTTAGATATGGATATCTTGATTGGCTTTTAGTCAAAACTGTAAGACTTATAGCCAAGACGTGGGTATGTGCACAGTATTGACAGCAATAATAAATATGTCAAAAGTATGTACCTGGAGTCTTTAGTCTTTTATTTATAAGGGTCAGCTCTTGGGCTGGGGCCGTCTAGATCTCCCAGTTGAAGTAAGATTTAACCTCTAATTTGTAGGGATAAGAGTCTTATCCCTTTATCTTTATCATCTCATGCTATTAAAGTAGATGTGCCATTGTCCATTAAGGAAAATATGAGATATATGGTTAAGATGTGAATCTACTCCATAACAATCATCTTCCATAGTTATTGAGAAATCACCTTCTCTTGGATCATTCACAGTCACACAACTAGTATCGTTGGCCATTGGGAATCGCCATGCTCCATATGATTGGTTTCATTCTCAAAATTTCTGGTCTTTCTCTTTGAATCGTCGTGCTCCATAAGATTGGTGCTCTATACACCAGTATCGCTACCAAATTTTCAATCTCGTCTTCGTCTTTGTCTTCCACAAGTTGAGACAGGGAGAAAGAAAGAGACAGGGAGTTGAAAGAGAGAAGGGAAAAATAAAGGCTGAATAAATAAAACTTAAAAGATTAATTTTGTAAATTCGCTCCACAGTCCCATTAATATTTTACAATCAACCAAACATAGAATAGGAAAATTGATCCAATATTTTTGATTGCCACCAAACAATTTTTTGATAATATTTTTGACAAATTCACTTTTCTATCATATTATTAAAAATCGTAATTTTCGGATAAAAAAATTTATCCTCTACCAAATGCTTCTTTATAATTATTTAATTCCCTCATATCTATTAATTTTCTTTTTAGCAACGGTAACCTATGTAGCACCGATACTGACACGGGACACGTGACACGATACGACACGACACCCCGACACTTTAATTCTAAAAATTGTTAGATTTTGACACGTTAGGACACGTTTTGATATTAAATAATATTTTTAATTTATGTAGTATATATTATATTTAATATTCAATAATTTAACAAAAAAATGAAACTAAACTTATAATATTTATCAATTTTGTAAAGAAACATAAAATATCCCAAATATTTATATTAAACTCAATAAAATAGTAATCGAAATTCAACAAATCTAATAGTTGAAACTAAAAACTCAACGCAACGAACCTTTGAATCTTTTTTTGAATTTTTATAACACAGTGTTAAAGTGTCTGGGAGTGTCGGAGTGTCGGACACGACACGTCAGAATTCTTGAAATGTCGGTGTTTCATAGACGGTAACACACAAAATGTGCTTCTTTTCTATCCGTCAATATCTCGAAGAGATATGGTTCATCTAATTAAAAATTATGTACTCTAATGATTGGATGTAGACCTATTAGGAACATGTCTGATTAGGATTTTGACGTGCCACCGAGCTCAATCACCCATGCATGATTTAATCGCTTCTTATATCAATTTTGCTTTACACGAGATGAAAACTTACAAAAATAAGAGACACTCCCATTGAAAATTTTATTATTCGGCAAAGTACATATAAAGATGATAAATTTTTTTGGCAGATTAATTTGATTAGATAATACTCCAATTTTTTTTAAAAATACATGACTAGTATTCTTAAAGTGATTGCATATTTTAATTTTTTATGACAAATAATTTTGAAATATATTCCCTCATATAAAAGTATAAGAGCCATAAAATCAAAGATTATTTTAATTAATAGTATTTTGTTTTTTATTCTTGGCTTTAATATTTTACGGTAAATGTAGATAAATTATCTACATTCATTTCCAAAATAATGTCGTTTTGAGTTGAAAGATTAAAAAATTATAATGAAAAAGACTATTATAATTCTGAAATAAATTATAATTACAAAAATACCTTGGTTTCCGTTCCAAAACAACTACGTTTTGGATGCAATATAAATAACTTATCTACGTTCATGGTAGAAAAAATGAACCCGTTATTCATATTATTAAATTAATTTTTTTGATAGTTTATAAAAGAATATTTAGTAAAGCAGATCTGAAGTGTTTGTGTGGTATATTTAAGATTTGTTTTCCTTTAGGACTTAGGAGCGTAGTATTTTGATAAATGATCTAGTAAGTCAGAGATATAAACCTACGCTTGATAAAAGAGTCACAATGAGTGGGTCTCAGACAAACACTGAGAATGAGAGAAAAGTGTGGATATAGTGACTCTAAGGTTATATTTTAGCAGCGTAGACCGAGTGTTCAAAAGGTGCTTCCTCAATAGTAAATGAAAAAAATATTTTTCCTTCTAAATGACACAACTTATATTCTTTCACTCTCACAAAGAAGTGGGACCCACACCTTTATGTTTTTTGTCAACTCTCTTTCCTCCTTTATCTATCTCTTCCTCTCTTTTAAAATGACACAATTTTACATCCTTTAAAATGACACACACTTTTTCCATAATAAAAAAGTGAATTTATGGTTGGGGAAAATTCTCCAGTGATGAGAGGGAGCCATAGCTGTTTCTACCTTTGTGGACCTCATACTCAGTCAATATATTCTCACCTAGTGTATGATGTGCTTGTGCGTGATAATAAAATTCAGTATGATAAAATTACATTTATCTCACTTGAAGATGCAAGGAAATGGCTCTTTTTAAGTGGACCTTAAAAACAGACCCAATGAACTGGGCCAGTTGCCGGTTCCAAAGATATCTAATGTTGCTATGCAAAAGCGAGAATCTGCATGGAAAATATTGAGAAAAAATAATTTGATAAAGCATAAGATAGAAATTACTTGATAGAATATTCTGGCCATGCGAGCCGTTATTAAAGAAAATAGTATAGGAATTCTTGAAATTGAGATGTATTTTTCATATTCATATAAATTAATTTCATGATTTTCCTCTTAATTAGAACTATAGGATGCACTTGATGTTGATAACATCGTTTTCTTTCCTCAGCCGGACAAGCCACCAACTTTTTACCGTGAGACTGATTCTCCATATTATCTTTACTGATTTTTATTGGACGAGAGGCACTAGTTTGATAAATACTATAAGAATTCACCGTACTATTGGGCCGAACTTTGTTCTAAAAAATCTAAGCTTATGTCACAAAATTTCAATTTGACTTAGCCCAATAGTATAGTACGAGTTTAATTGTTAGTCTGACTTAGTCCATTTATAAAAAATCAAATAGCCTGGTCTGGCCTATTAACATGTTAATTTTTAGCCTTCTAGCAGAACATGAAACGATTTCAAAAAAATATTCAAATTTTGTTGTTAAAACAAAAACTACAATTTCAACGTTTAAACAAAATCATGAATCGCAACAACAACTTATCACAACATGCATTTAAGTCATTTTCAGAAGCAAAATATCCACACTAAATAACATATGTTTCATTATATCCAACAAATCAATCTATACTATGTAAATTAAAATAACTTCATAAATCCAACAAATGCATCACGATGTTTGTAGTAGCCAAAAACTTCTCATCATCTTCTTTACCCTGCAAATACAATTCCAATGTTACATAAACTGACAAGCAATTTGTAAATGTAGAAAACAAAAAACAAGATTAAAGAATAAAAATACAAATAAAAACAAAAAACCTTTTTATACATTTTGTTTTTTCTTCAAGTCATACTTATTACATAACCAATCTCCATAATATATTAAAGCTTGGATAGTATCTTCAGCCAAGCTAGAACGATAAGCATCAATAACTCTTTCTCTAGCACTAAATGTTGATTTTGATGCTACTGTAGAAATTGGTATAGATCTTATGTCACTCCCAAATGTAGTATTGGTGGAGGATCGAACCTAGGTCTTTCCACTGTCTACTCAGCTCACATGCACCAACTGAATTATCACCATCTGGTACTACTATGAATAATATTATTTTATTTAATTTAAAATAATAATATGATATAGGCCGACATGTAAAAAAAGCCTATGACTTATTTTCTAAAATAGGTTTTTTTTTAAAAGCCCGGACCTATTCTTTTTGACTATACATAATTGGCCTTGCCTGACCTGATATAGGCAGACCTTAAGCCCCTGTAAGCCAACCCGCCCAATTAGAGCCCTAACTACTAGAAAAGCTCTTATAATCCAATAACCACTTATTGGAAATGAACAAACTACCTTTTCCAAGTTTGAATTCTCTATATTTTTTTATTCAGCATATAATGTATGCATATTTTGGTCTTGCGGTTGTAAGATTTTCTCTTGTGGCAGAATTTAGACAAACTGATCGTGTATATCCCTTTTTTCCCTTTATCCTTTTTTAATTTTGCTGCATCATATTATTTGTGTTTCTGCATTGAGACCCAAAGAACTAATTCACCCCCTTAGGTTCTGTCAATGCAAATCTATAATTCTAGCCTTTTATTTTTCAAAATACTTTGTAAATATTATCTCTCTCATAATTGATATGTGTTTAGCTAGATAGTGTTTGTGGTCCTTCTTTTAATAGTGGAGGCTTTGGTTCTTGAAGAACATCTCCAAAAGGAAGCCAACTCAAACAGTCATGTTATTAAACCTTACAAGTTTTTTCGTTAATGATCATTCTCTTATTACTCTTACAATCCAAAACCCAAATAAAGTCCTAATCTTTTTCTATCTGATTTATTTATTTAATTAATGTCATTTTTCCATTTCTCATAATATGGAAATGTAGGATCCCTAAAAGGTTCTTTGCTAGCTAGGTGTTTCAGCACTCATCCTCAATCCAAGGACTCTGCTCGGGTCTCCCAACATTCCCAAGGGCCTTCCAAACAACACTGTTACACATGAACCCAGCACCAAAAGCTATCTGACAAACCCTATCACCCCTCTTGATCCTTGAGTTAAACTCAAGGTATGCCAGTTCATACCAGATGCTGCTGCTAGATGTGTTGCCAAATCGTTCCAATGTCTTCCTTGATGCTTCCATGTACTCCTCTGTGAGCTCCAAATTCTTTTGAATCTCATCCAACACTTTCTTACTTGTTGCCAGAATGCATACATGCTCAAAAGCCAGCTTGTAATCCGGAATGTATGGCTTTGTTTTCTTTTTCTTGAAGAGCAAATTGGTGAAGAAGTGAAGCTGTTCTGAAACTGGTAGGACTAGTGGACCTAATGTGGTTATATTGGCCTTTAATGCATGGCCTCCAACCTCAATGACATCTTTGCTTACAGAAAGTCCCTTCCTCCTTTCACTATCTTCCCTTTGATGTATGCTTTTGTAGCTTCTATTGTCCATTCCTTTGTGAGTTCGGACAAGCTGCAACATGCATTAACCATATCTCAAAGCAATAAGATAGAGATAATAATATTGTTATCATTGCAAGTTATACAAAAGTAAAGATGTTATGAAGAGGTACCTGTTTGAGTTCGAACTTGGCTCGCCATCTATCTAAGCGGAAATTTGAGAGCATAATTGCTGCAGCACCCATTCTAAAGAAGCAATTGGGAAGCAGCATGTCAATGTCATTGCCACTGTACCATGAATGGCTCACAGCTTCTGTGCTCACTACAAGTGCATAAGTGCTTGGATATGCATCCAAGAGGTCTTTAGCTAGATCAATGGCTGTGATTCCAGCAGCACAACCCATCCCACCAAGGTTAAAGCTATGTATGTCATGCCTAAGCTTGAAATGGTTTATTATCATTGATGAGAGTGATGGGGTGGTATTTAGTATTCCACAGTTTACTACCAAGATTCTTATATCTTTTGGTTTTACTTTTGTGACAGCAAGAAGGTCCTTAATTGCCCCAAACATCACCATGGATACCTCTTGTCGACCATCTTTCAGAGAGGTTCTGTAACCAGGGCGAAAAACTCCTTTTGGCATGTAGGTCTCATCACCTATGCCAGATTTCTTAAGAACTCGTTCCTGAAACTCAATGGCAGTATCATTGAAATTCCCTGATATTTTAGCCAACTGAATGAACTCTGCCTTAGAGATCTGCATAAATAGTCCCATTCAATGCATGCAAAAAATTGAATAAATATACATATATAGGCTTACATTCCCTTAAACATATTGGCAAAGAATTATACAATCTCAAAGTTTAAGCTACTGATTAGTGAGAGACTAAGGAAGACTTAAAACTCACCACACTTAAATATGTGGAGAGTGATAAATAGTTAACAAAAAAAGTGTTGTTTACCTTGTATTCATCTGAAGGGCGAAAACATGAAAAATCAAGCAAATAGGTAGACCCGGGAGTAGATTCAATATAAAAATATAGCATTAAGCACAAAAGTGCTGATATAAATAGAGTCTCAGTGAGGTCATGTTTGTCATAGAGATCTTTCCAAGTGAACTTTCCAATATGAGCAATCAAGGTTGCAAGAAGAGGTGGTGCCAGCAACAAATACAAACGATGGCTAATGAGATAGCCGTAACCCAATTTCACATATTTTAAATTAACTGAACTAAGGAAATCTGGCAGTCTAGGCCGTACTCTAACTGAAAAATTAAGAGTGCCAAAATTTGGGTCAGAGTTCTCAACACCTCTTTGCAGAATCTCTGTGGAAAATTGCTCATTTTCTTTTGACATGGGGAGAAAATTCACTTGCAGAAAACTATGTTGATTGAAGAAAGAGTTGGGAAAAAAAACATTTAATGCAGCTTGAGGTGCTTGCTCAGATTGAATTGAGAAGTGCAAAAGTAAAATAACAATGTTTGAAAAATATTGGAAGGCAAAGAAGCTTGATGGGATATACATATATAGGAATTTAGTAGTGTTATCTCTTAGCACCCTCAGTTGGAGAAACATTGGCTGGTTGGCATGGTAATTAATGATGCTTAGGATTTTACGGAGCAAACAGAATAGGTACATTGTGCATGAATGCGTATGAGCAGCATATTTGCAGCACCATTGAAATAGTATGCGAGAGGAACATATTAATTTTCATCCTCTTGTTTAATAATTAAAATTACGTTAATCAATTTGGGAGCAACTGAGATGGTTCTCCTTAGGAAGAAAAAATCTAGTGTAACACAAATCATTGCTTCATACTGAACCATTGATACGTGCATGGTTCGGTATATATATGTATGTTTGTCGAGTGAAATAGTTAACAAAATTACAAAAAAACTTAAATTAACAAAAAAATAGAAAGTTATGCGACTAGGTAAAGAAAACTGATTTATTTATGGGTTATATACTTTTTTTTATTCTATATGAGATACACCAAATTTATATATATATAGGGGTAGGATCATTTGACACCGGTGTCAAATTTAAAGTTTGACACCTCATCTGAGAGTCGTTAGATCAAAAAAGATCAATGGTGTCACATGCTTACAAATCAGAGTCGTTGATCTTTTTTGATCTACCGGCTCTTAGATAAGGTGTTAAACTTCAAATTTGACATCGGTGTCAAATGATACTACCTCATATATATATATATATATATATATATATATATATATATATATAATAGAGTTAGATTCCAGAGCTGGATTCCACCTATGTTTTTTATGAGTTTCACTTATAATTTTATTTGAGCAATATAAGATAACTCATTTTCAATAACATAAAAGAAAAAGATTTTCCTTTATTTATACCCAAAAAAAAGTTTTTTTTTTTTAAATTCAGCTCACAAAATGTCATCCAGATTCAAGGATCATATTAGAGTTGGGCCTACATGAGGAGTAGGGATATAAAGAAGTGAATAATCTAAAATGAATATTATTTTATACTCACTACAATAAAATTGTGAGACAATTCAAAATAGAGCAAAACAGGATTAAGGTATTAAATTAATAACATGTGTGCTAGTGCTTGTGAAGATAATAAGGATTTAGATAAAGTACTTTGGTTTCTTGTGATATTAAGAGTGTGCATGACAACCATTAACAGTTCTTTTCTATTTCTATGCCTTGGAATAATTTTTGAGAAAAAAATGTGTTTGATAACGTGTTCTATTTTTATTCCAAGAATAAGAATTGCATTTGATAACACAACAAATAATATAATAAAAAATAATTTTCATTAAGCATAAAATTTTTCCGGATCATCACTTTCCTTTTCATAAGGTGTGGTGGTGGTGGATGCAGCGACGACAGTGGTGGTAGTGGTGGTAATGGTGGCGATGACGTAGTGATGGTGATGTCATGGTGGTGGTGGTAGTGGTGGCGTGGCAGCGGCATAATGGTGGTGGTGATGATAGTGGCTGCAGCGATGGTGGTTGTGGTTGGTGGCGGTGGCGTGGTGATTGTAGTAGTGGTTGTGGTGGTGACGGTAGTGGCTGTGGCGATGATAGTGGTGGTTGGTGATGTTGGTGGTGGTGGTGGTGGTAGTGGTTGCGTCGTGGTGATGGTGATGGTAGTGGTGGCATGGTGGTGTGGTGGCGGTAGTGGTAATGGTGATGGTGTGGCGGTAGTGATGGTGACGACAGAGTCTGCGGGGATGGTGTGGTGGTTGGTGGTTGTGGCGATGGTAGTGGTGGTTGGTGACGGTAGTGGTGATGGTGGTGGTGGTGGTGGCGTGGTCATAGTAGTGGTGGTGGCGGCGGTGACTGCAATGATGGTGGTGGTTGGTGGCGATGGGAGTGATGATAGTGGTGGAGAGTGATTGAGAGAGACACGTGTTCCTCATTTTGTGCCTGGAAACAAAAAAACAAAAAAAATTAATTATTTTTTCTTTTCCCAAGCACAAAAATTAAACCGGTTCATCATATTACAAAAAAATAAACCGGTTTTATCAAACGAGTTTTCTATCCATTTCTGTTCCGGGAACAAAAAAAAAAATTGATTTCGAAAAAGTTGTCATGCACACCTAACCTAAGTCTGTTCTAATCCTACCTTTCAAATCACAGAGTTAGAGCAAACCAAAGCATTTAAAGTGTCCCTCCATAGGACACGCAAACAAAGAGGTTATTGGAAAGATAAGTACACAAACTAACACATCTTAGATTATCCAAATCTATTTCAAATAAAAAATTAATTTTTCATAAAAATTCTCTATTAGCTTTTTTTTAATTCTTTTTTCCCGTCTAGTGGTACATGTAGGTTTTTCAATCTAGGTGAGCTTCTATGTACAGAATAAAAGAGACAGAGTATTTATCCTCTATTTTGTGAATCTAAGCATAAATTGTTAGCATAATCTGTTAACAGTAAAAGATATATCTATAAGCAGGGCTTCACCTTTTAATATACACTTATCTAAATAAAAAAAAGTGTTGATCAGTTTATGTAAATATATATAGTAACAAAATGACGATAATGACATTTTTAAAAATACAACATTGGTTTTAAAATATTTTTAAATCGGTTTCTGCTTAAGTTTGAATACAATTTTACATTATTTTAATTTTTTTTTTTATCATTATAATTCTTCATTCACGGTTCATTCGGTTCAAATAAAGCTGAAGTCAGGATGAGATTGTCTACGGTAGCAATGCGGCAATGCCTATACATGAATTTTCCTTTTGGATTTATATAATAAGATGATGAGAAAAATGATAGGCGAAACTGGAACTGCATGTGATGTATATTTCGTGCTGTCGTTGTAAGATGTTGATAATTGAGTAATTGTTTTAGAGGAAGGATATTCTTACTATCAAAATCTTCTACTACTAACTCACTATATATTTAATCACCATTGGATCAACATTTTCTCTTTTTTAAATTTTTTTAGCACTCTCTCTCTTTGATTCAATGGTGATTAGATAAGTAGTAAGTTAGTAGTAGAAAATTTTGGTAGTAAGAATATCCTTGCTCGTTGTTTTATGGCTGAATAATAAGGAAACTCTCTATCAAAGCACTAGTGTAACACTCTCAAGAGAAAGGTGAGGAGAGAAACAGAGAGAGATCAAGAAAAGGATATGATATAATTGGAGGGAGAAGGAGGATTTGGAGTAATTTTCTTCTTACCCTTTCATTGAAATGAATCACTATTTATACCACCGAGTGGCTACACAGAAATACAAACTAATTTGCTGAATTAAAATTGCTAGAAACCTTGGGAAAAACATTAAAATCACTATTTAGAGCATGAGTTTAAGACATGGTTGGACCAGATATTTCTGGTCTCTTGCTTAGCCTCTTTGCCCATACTCTAATGCTGGTTCTGTTGGGTTATTGTTGGGCCTGTAATAGCAGCATGGGCTTCTACAAAACTTATATTCTGTTAAAGCCACCATCCCCCACTCATAAGAGAGACAGAAAGTGTTGAAAATGGAACTTGCTGTGAGAGGATTGATATTGATAAACCTGAATATCAATACATTTGGAAGAAGAAAAAAAACAAACCAAAGGGCATCTATTCAAATATAGAAAATGCTTTGTTTAATGACAAAGATGTGGAGAATTTGGGTACAAAAGTTGTATATGATAAATTAAAAACATTTATTTATTTTTTTAGAAATATTCCAATCGGTTCATCACTTCAAATTAGTCTGATTCAGGGCGGGTTCCGGGATTAAAACTTTAAACCCTTCCCAAAATAATATTAAGAAAGATCGAATATATACTTTCACCTTCACTTGCTCAGTTTCATAGCTCCAACTAAACTACCATTATTTGGTAACTAAAAACATTTATAATTCTGGCTATATATCAACTATGAATTCTATTGTATATATCCAATTTTACATAGTAGCTAGCTTTAAACCTCCGGATACCATCATAAACAAAAGGCAGGAATGATAACTATGAACTAAAATGCATTTAAGAAAACCAACTCAACCCTATTCATGCAGGCCAGATGCATTGCCTAATTTCCACCCTTTGTTTACCTTTTTCTTTCTGCTATTTGAGATGGATGCTTACATTGCTCCAAACCAATTCCATAAATTTTAATTTTTTTTTTTATTATTTGCCAAAGCACATGGACTACATCACCACCACCTCCCTTTTATTATATTCCTACTGTATTATTTGTTTAGAAAGTCAATGTTCTTGGGACAAAGGCAGAAGCTTCCTAGGCATATATACCACAAGAATAAACAAGATTTTACTCTCTTTTTAAATAAAAATTAGTGAGTAGCGTCATTTGTTCGAATTAATACTATAAATTGTTCTCAAACTATCAATATGAGAATACTTACATTTGATTAGTAAAAGTTTACATGAAATGGAACGATTTTAAATTCAGCCACGGGCGCGGTGTTTGACAAGAATGTCAAGAACCAATTCAACCCAAAACTTTAAAATGTTGAGTAAGACTATATTAACATGTTTTATATCTTTTTAACAAAGAATTATTGAAGCAGTGTCACAAGATCATAAATAAACAACGAAAACTAGTTGATGGTTCGATACTATCCCACTTAGAAAGAAAAGTGAGAGATTGATGTTTTCTATTACAGTACCACTGTGGGTGGATAATTTTGTCACTCAACACAAAAAACTAAAAGTATGCTCCACTATCGATGGGTAGACGCGAAAGAAATTAGAAATGTGTACATTTGAAAGTGAGACTATTAGATTTGGTGGAAACCATGCTCGAACATGAGACATGATTTCATTATTTAACTCTCAGGGTTTTGCTATGCTCTCAATGATATAGTGGGCCATGAAAACATTCAAAGTGTTTATCTTTGATTTTTGATCGAGTGCTTCGTTAGAAAACGGAGAAAAGAATTAAGAAAATTGTTTGCTGTTAGGCCATCGCCGCAGAATTTAGTGCCCCATCTCAGCCGGCAGGGTATTATTCTATTCAACCACTAGACCATGGTGTCGATGTGTGGATGACTAAGTGAAAAAAATTTATATTGGTTAACAATGGATCAAGCAAGTTAGATTGGGATTTGATTTTAATAGATTATTTTTCGATAAAAAAATTCATTGATATTCAATTAGAATCTTAAATGAATGAAAGAAGTCACGTGGTATTCAATTAAAATTTTAAAAGATTACTTTAGAGTCCGTCCAAATCTGTTGGTATTCAATCAGTATTTTAAACAAAGGAGAAATAATCTTATAGTATTCAAAAATCTAACAATTTTAATAGATTTTCTATTGGTGTGGATTTCGAGAGACTTTTTAGTGAAAAATATAAATAGGATGCGTCTCTCACAATCTCATCATAACCCTTGGAATTTATTGAGATTTCTCTATTGCAGTATTTTTTTCTTCCTTTGACGGGTCGACCCGCTTGAAATTGGATTCTGCCATGGGAGTTTTGTCAAAGCTCAAAAAATAGTAGATTTTTGAGCAATTTTCATCACAAAACAACCAAGAAACAACAACCCAATAAGATTTTAATCTAATCCATCTAAAAATAGTAGATTTTTTAGAAGTTTTAAAAAAGATTTTTTAAGTCGTCGATCGCAATTTTTCTTGGCACAAAAATATTATTTTTGTATTAAAAACAACATAAAACAGTGGGAAAACAACATGGAAACAAAAAACCCCCAAATCAATTTTTGTTTTACATCAATGAAACAAAAAGATTGAAACTTTCATAATATAAACCATATGTTTCATAATAATGTATTCATGAACGAAATTCCATCACTATAGGAAACGATTTCAAACAATTTTTGTGTCAATAGATCACTAAAAACTTATTTTTCAAAAGCATCAAAGCAATTTAAGGTTTCAATTTATCAACTGAAAATAATTTGAGAAATTTTCTAAACATTTATGTAATAAAACCTAGAAATTCATATTCAAAATTTTCTTGAAATACTCAATGAAAATATGCATATGATATAAAAAATTCCGAACAAAATTTTATCATAAATTTACTGATTGAGAAAATTATATTATGTTTTATTTTTTTTACTAATATCATTGTATTTCTTTTTTTATTGACTCTTGTAATTTTGAATATTTGTTAAAAATTCATATAATTTATTAAAATTTTATAAATCCATATTGTCTTTTCAAATATTATAAATTCTATTAAAATCCTTTAAAATTCAATCTTATGAAATCTTGATTATAAAAAAAATCTTTTTAAAAAGTCTTTAAAACCCTTCCAATTCTAAATAATCTTTTAAAATCTATAAGATTTTTTATCTCAAAAAAAAAATCTTTCAAAATATTAATCCAATAACCCCCTTAAGTGAGCACCATATAAGTCCATATAAGTGGAAAGGACTCATACCTCTACTACCTTAAAGTTTTGAGTTTGATTGTAGTGTTTTAAACTCATCTAATATTGTTGCTTACTTGACCCATTGTTAATGGTTCCTTCCCGCTATGAATTCTCCAACAATTGATATCAGAGCTAATGGTGAATTGGTTGAGCACATGGATATTGATGGTATGACATGTCTAAGATTACGCAATATCATCTTGTTGACAAATCACTCCATTCTTGTGATTTGAGTTCTCAGCTTACATGTGAAATTGCCAAGTTGAATGGTCATTCTGTTTCTTGGTCTTGTGATATATATCTTTGCTTAGTAGGCGCTCAGACTCAGAGAATGCTGCCAAATTTTCTACCTAACGACAATCATATAATGCTGAAACTTAATATGCTTATTTTGCTTCCTTACGTTAACTAAAAAGCTAAAAGGCCGCATGATGACATTTGGAAAATTAACCGGCAGATTCCTTCTATAATAGTGTCATCAATTATAAAATCAGGTTAGAGTTGATTTGGCTTAAAATTGTGTCACGGTGTAAACTTGTACAATAGAGGGGATCAAGCATATAAGATCAAATACACATGTGGCTATCAGCGTTAAAATCCCAAATTATTACCATTCATGCTATGGTACATGCTGTACAATCAAAACTAAAAAATTGAACTTTACAGTGTAAAAAAACCTCTTCTACAAAACAATTCGGATAAGATGATAAATGAATTTCAACAAGTGAAATCAAGCAGAAGGCTCCTTTGCCGTTTTTACATAATAGATAATATGTGCGCTTTGGCTTCACATACCCTAGTAGCTCCAAATTCAAATCCTTGTGTGCCAGAGAATGAGTCCAATATTTGTACAACCATGAGCCAATGAACAAATCCCATTTTTTCATTCATGACACAGATTCACCTACCCTCAACTATAGATTTGGACCAAGTGAGAGACATTGAGGACAGGTGACGAATATCTTCAAAAGTTGGGTGTGATGCATAGCTAAAATATTGGGAATACTCAGACAATATATCCCTTGATTTCAACTGTTGGAGCAAATAAGTATCCAAATTCTCAATTTCAGACCCTTCACCCTCGTTCTTTCCCTCTAAAATATTCACCACTTGTCTCATTGTTGGCCTGGCTTTTGGTTCAGGGTAGGCACACAACAAACCCAAGTTCAGTACCCTTTCCACTTCTTGCACACTGAACTCTCCTTTTGACCTTAGCCTTTCATCAAGTGCATGCACAAGTTGCCCGTGAACCATTAGTTGCCAAACCCACTCAACCAAAGGTGGTTTACCTTCTTCTAGAGGTCTCCTTCCACACATGACCTCTAAAATCAAGATACCAAACATGTAAACATCTGTCTGAGTTGAAGCTCTTCCAGTCCTAATCACTTCAGGAGCCATGTACCCCACTGTTCCAACCAATTTTGTGGTGCTAGAAACTTGACCATGGCTTTGCATTCTGGCTAACCCAAAATCTCCGAGCCTTCCATTCATATCCTTATCTAGTAAGACATTGCTGGCCTTGATGTCCCTATGTACTACTTTGGCTTCCCACCCCTCATGCAAGTACAAGACTGCAAAAGCCACATCCTTAATAATCTTTATTCTATCTTCACAATTTAACATCTTGCTCTCATCACAATCAAACACCCTCTTGTCTAAGCTCCCATTTTCCATATAATCATAAACTAATAAGAAATTCCCCATATCTTTCTTGCACCAGCCTCTCAACCCCACCAAATTCCTTTGCTTCAATCTTCCAAGACTTGAAATTTCTGCAAGAAATTCTCGCATACCATCATTTTCATGAGAAATGCGCTTCACGGCAATCTCTGCCCCTCCACGTAAAACACCCTTGTAGACTTTCCCATTACCACCGACTCCAATCACATTTTCCTGAGAGAACCCCTTTGTTGATGCCTCTATTTCTTCATATGCCATTCTGTGTGGCCAATACTCTAATTCCCAATCTTCCATTTCCTCTCTCTTCCTTGCTCTCCTTCGCTTCCTCTGAATCAAAAACATCGCCAATATAACCAAGAGACAAATAATAAAGAAAATCCCCACTGTAAATCCAGCAACAAACCCCTTGGACTGGAAAATTGAACGTTTTGGAAGAACAAAAGATGGTAACCCAGTAGTAATGAGTTCTTCACTTAACGAAAAATTAGTATTGCTAAAACTCCAAGCCAAAATCTTGTGACTTTGAACTAATTGCCCTGTGGCACTAGTAAACCCAACAAACATTTCATCCACAAAAACTTCAGATAAGTTGAGAGAAACATTCAATAACGGCCTGCTAGGCCTTTTCATACCCACCGGTGCCATAGTAACATTAATAAAAGAATCTTCATAATCAATCCAAACTTGGTAATTTTCACCATCGTTAAGCATCGATTCCTGAAAAGACTCGTCACCTTCGCTTTTCCTATCATCTGGCCAATACCCAGCATCATGCGAGACAAAAGACTTGAGAGAGTTTAAGTCAATCCCAACATGGTTGGCGTTCATGTCTTCGAACTCTTGGTTCATGAACACATCGAACTCAACACCAAACACGTGGTTGCTGGGATTTCCGTTGTTGGTAAGGTTAAACAGACCCAGATTTTGAGCAGAACTTGTACCTTGTATGCCCGTAACAGGTGTGAAGATGAAAACTAAGCCATGACCTGGAAGAGTATCCTCAAAAGGTGCCATGGAAAAGATGAAAGAAGTGGAGAAAGGGTATACGTAAGAAGAGTTTGGGTGCTTGGTTGGGATCCTTTCACGGTAGAGAGCACGACCAATTGAGAAAGTTTGGTGATGGGTGAGGGATAGAACTCGAGAATCAATGGTGGCATCGCTGAAGAGCAATACATCAGAGGAGTTGAAGCCATTGAAGACGAAATCAATGGCGGATACTGAGTTGAAAAGGAGGAGAATTGAGAGAAGAAGTGGTTGGGAGTACTTGAATCTTATCATTTTAGCATAGAAGAAACAGAAGGGGTGTGTCATTCATAACATGGCAAAAAAATAAGTACAAAAAGATGAATGGAACACAGTGAGTAATGGATGGAGAAGCCTTTAGAATGTAGGAAAACTTGGATTTGATGACGAACTATTGGAATTTTGAAATTTCCTCGGTCAACCATTCCAACTCATCGATTAGCTTTGTGTGATTAATGTCATTTTGTGTGTTGATACGGAGAACATAATCTAAACCTTGATTAATGTCTAACTAAAGTTATCATTAAAAGTTAAAACTGTAGTAGTAGTCAAATTTTCCTTTTTAGACAAAGTCAAATCAAAAGACCACCGTACTCGTTTCTTATTAAATTTGGTTTTTTCCTAATTATTGTATTAGTCCGGATTGAGCATGACCCAATTAGGTATGGCCTTTTGAGTTTTTATTTTTTTATTTTTAGTACTCGAACTCAAATTTTGTAATTAAGAAAAATACATTTTTTTATCATTTAAATTAATGATTATTAATCACCAGAACCAAATTATAAGAACCAGTCGATTCATTTCTTCAGATTTATGGTGCCAAAGCTTCAAAATCGGAGGAGTTCTGTGATTTTATTTTTTAATGATATTCACTAATCGGTCATTAATACGATAGCGTGATCATGTACCTATATCTATAGCCTACTAATATTTGGTGAGGGCAACTACAAAAGCAGCGGCCATTAAAAATAAAAAACAGGCAAATAGAAAAGAAATAATATATGAGATATTAAAATCAGAGCGCGTGAGGTACTGATGGGCCGATGGCCAGTATGATCCGGACTGGTTCTAATAATATCGTATTAAATATCTCTATACTTGTCAGATATAGTACGAAATGACTTGGCACGTTATGTCACTGTTCATTATCACTATGAGATGTTTGATTGAAGAGAATTTTTTTGAATATTAATAGAATGTAATTACTACGGAAAAAATTGGAAAGTGAGTTTGTTAAGAAAATATAAAAAGTTGTTTGGTTAGAAGAAATTTTACCAAAAAAATTTGGTAAATATTATAAGAGCGTTTGGTTGAGGAGAAATTTTTTAAATATTAAGAAAATGTAATTACTAAGGAAATGGTTGGAAAGTGAGTTTGGTATGAAGATGTAAAAAAAGTTATTTGGTTGAAAAAAATTTACTGAAAAAAATTTGGTAAATATTATAAAGTTTATGTATGGTTTGAGTTAAAATATTAATGGAAAAATAAGTTGCAATTACCAAAATACCCCTTGTTTTTAAATATTTTGAATCACATAGGATACCCCTTTACCTTTAAATAGTTTGGTATGATAGTAATTTCCATTCTTACTTTTTGTGCTATTTATCTAGGGAACTCAAAATACAACATCACAATTGAAAATATCTTGCCTTTATCGTTGGGGAGTTTGACATGCAAATCAGTTTGCTGTGGTAATAGTTTATGGGATTTGATTTTCTCATGTTGCATGATAATTGAATTCTCATGTTGTGACTCAACTAGTGGTGGACCCCATATTTATTAAAAAAAGAAAAAGAAAAGAAAAATTTTACACGCAAATCGAAGGGTCACTAACATGAGAGTTGAATTCTCATGCAACATGAGAAAAAGTTTTCCCATAGTTTACATAGGCAAATGATGAAAATGAAACAACCAAACATGGTCAAGCTACATTTCCAATTGACTTTTACTCATCTATCTTATGAGATATCCTCAACCGAAGACAACCTTACATAAATATCCCCTTATATGGCGGTGGGTTTTTTTATCTTAATACAAATATTTTATTCATTTAATTTTGAGTTTTATATTTCTCATTTGGAAAGAAAAGTTTTTCTATACAGTTTCCGATTTTTGTATTAATATTGATCTCACATAATGACTTTGTAATATGAAAATTATAATACCTTTTAATTTTTTAAAATTATATGTCTGTGAAAAGACGTGCAACGTGAGAGTAGTATTAAAGTCGCAAATCACGAGTTGTGTAAAATAGTGCTCTTTGACCCATTTGGATTTTTATCCCTTTAATTTGTCAATGGTATTTGATTCAAGGTATTTACTAATTGGGGTTATTGAGTGACGCGACAGAGACCGGTGTCACTGAGTGCGGCACATCTCCCCATGTGTCACTCTCACTTTTTTTTTTTTTAATTGAGTGTGGCCCCCCTCCTTTAGGGAACTCACACGATTGTGTCAAGTGGCATAATTTCGTTTGTTCTGTGACTGTAAAACTTCGGAAGACCATAACTTTTGACTCGGGTATCCAAATCAGATTTTTTTTTGATTTCACATAACTTTTCGAGATCTACGCAATGACATCTCATTTGACATATTTTATCTCATTAACATAATTCAAATTTACAACAATAGTTTCATTTTCTTACAAATTTGTATTATGTTTGTGAGAGACAAAATATGTCAAATAAGGTGTCATTGCGTAGATCTCAAAAAGTTATATGAAATTAAAAAAACCATATTATTTGGATACCCGAGTCAAAAGTTATGAACTTCCGAAGTTTTACAGTAACTAGACAAACGGAATTGTGCCACTTGACACAATTCTGTGAGTTCTCCAAGGGAGGTGTGCAGCACTCAGTGACGCCAGATCTTGCGTCACTGAATAACCCCAATTAGTAAATATACCTCATTGATAAATTAAAATCCCAACAAACCCCAATGGGTCAGAGAGCATGTAAAATAGTCCACACATACGCTGACATTTATATAAGTAGCGTATGGATTTCATTCACTCTGGGTAATTTAGAAAAATTAAATGAATGATTATACAATACTGATACTGAGATTTAAATGAAATTTTAATTTTACATTGTACGAATCAAAAAGCCTGTAGGTTTCATTCACTTTGAGCACAATCTCCCTGTACGAGTGTTATTAAAATGGCCTGAACCGGTCGGTTGGACCGGTTGACCCAGAATCAGATTTTTGAATGGTTTGATTTAGTCAATTAATTAGACAACCGATCAAAAATGGTGAATCAATCAAAAATTAAGTTTAATCGATACTAAGCTAGCACTGATTTTTTGATTGAATTGATTTTTCAAAAAAGTAGCAAAATATTTAACTACGATTGCACTCTTGAGATTGAACCTGCCCCTTAAAGGTAAAGAAGTGATATAAATCAATAAATAAAATTATTTTGGTTGTCATATTACTTTTATTTATATATTTATTATATATTTTTATATAAATTTAATTTAAATAATTGAATTAATAATCCATTAACATGATACTCCAACCGAGTCAACGATTTATTTGAGTTTAATAACATTGTATTGTACAGTTAAGACTAGAAAGTAGGAAACAAACAGCAAAAGTTTATTTCGCATCGATGACATCATAACCAATTGATAGATATATGATCTAATTATATAATTATTTGATATTAGGCTATGAAAATATTTTTATGAGGCAAGTATCCCAACACTAATTGATTGTTTTTATTTTATAAATTTTTATTTATATTTCCTCGTTTTGTTGTATGACTAAATATTAAAGGCCATTTTGGTATATATTATTTTGAATATAGATACTAGACATCAATTTTACACTAAAAATTTGTCTACAAAAAATCTATTCTTATAAGAAAGGGGAATCTTATTCGTTCTGTAAGTTCGAATAAAGAATTTATCATATAAACTCACACGCCACAATGGGGAAGAGTGACCATTTTGTCACACTTGGCAAAAAAATTTACCAGACTGCTACGTCAACAGTAAATTTTGCCAAAATGTCACGCTGTACCCTTAGCCGTCGTTGAAGAAGTCTGAAAATAATTAAGAGTTAAGATAAGATAATGCGAATTAGTTATATTTTCAGACTTCTTCAACGACAGCTAAGGGCGCAGCGTGACATTTTGGAAAAAATTTACTATTGACGTGGCAGTCTGGTAAATTTTGTTGTCAAGTGTGGCAAAATGGTCACTCTTTCCCACAATGGCAAACTATATTTATATGACTACACAATCATTCAAACCTACCCGCATGATAATATTTGTAGAGAAATACCATTATTTAAAAAATTATTTTAATATTATTTTGTTAGGTTTATGGTTACACTATATATACACATATATGTGTTATCTTATTATTGAAATAATTTGACCTGTACAATAAATTAAATAATAATGTTAAAAAAATTTAAAAAAGAACTGACGTAGCTTAGAGTCCCAAGGTCAAAGAGGAAGTTTCAGGTTTTTTTTTTTTTTTTTTGTAAATAGGAAGTTTCAGCTTTTGTATGAACTCAATTGTTACGGGGGGAAATTTTAATATACATCCAGCCTACTAAATTTTTTGTGCTCCTTTATCTGTTTTGGTAAAAAAAAATATTCTTAAACTCTTATTTTTTTTATATTTTCTTCTCAGTCTTTTTTATTTTTTGTTTTTGGCCGGGAGCATCTGTTACGGGATCGTTTGGTCAAACTTCACGCACTTCAAATATTTTTTTTTTTTTTGCAGCCATTCACTTTTTGAAAAATCACACATTTTAAATTCTCTTCTTTGACCATCGCTGGAAATTTCCTTCCGGATTTGGTCTTTGAACTTTCGAGGCAATGTTGCAATAGCTAAAAAGCACTATTCTTTTAAAACAATTGAAAATAGCCTTTATCTTATTTTATTCAAGTGGGCCTAGGTAAATAAATGCCGGTCCAAAATGCAAGCCCAATATGAACCGACATAGAAAACACAATGCTTGGCCCAAATGCTCATCCAGCGGCTTGTTTTCACTCCCTTAAAACACTTCATGGCCCATGCTCGGCGGTGCTAAGCTCATTGCGTTTGAATAAGAAAATAAAATCGAATCAAATTGTAAGCAATGTTATTTGTAGAACAAAGTTCTTTAGACATACAAAATAATATATTAGAGTATTTTATCATTTTAGTTCGTGAAACAAAAAAAGTTGACATTAATTTTGTCCTTAAAATGTAGATGATATTATTTTGATCTTTGAAAAATAAGTGATATCACTTTAGTTTATTAATAATAAAAAAAATGATATCAATATAATCATTC